CTGCTTTATCGGCATTTATACCGAAATCGACCGTCAAAGAAAATTGCAATGTTTGTATATTTGAATCGAATTCTCTACTTAAATAATTAACACTATTTTTAAGATTTCTAGCTTGAATATACTTGGCTGAACCTGTTACCTGAGAAATATCTTCAACAAGATAATTAATTATCTTACCATTTGATGCAAGAACATTCAACCTTTACGCTAATATTTTTTTTTTTAAAATATTTTGAAATAGTGATTAATTAGTTAATTTATTGATGGGCAAAGGTACAAAACATCTACTTACTATTTGATACAAAAGCATTCGAATCTGGCGTTAATTTATTATTATTATTATTTTTCTTTTTTTAGAAAATATTTTGAAATTAATATCATAAGCTTACTTGCAAAATTAATATCTCGTAGAAATTTTAATGGTAAACCTGTGCATCCAAATAATCGTTTATTTATTTGCTTGCAATCCATACCATATTCGTACAGAAACTCAAAGTGAAGCTAGTTTAACAAGTTTGGTCAAAAAAAAGTAAACTTGTCTATCAAGTCAAGCCATTTTTATAAAATTTAGACTATGTATGGGACTATGGTATTAAAAAGTCAGATGATGAATGCTAGTACATTCAAATTATGGTCGAATAAGAATTGAAAGAAATCACAGAAATTTTTTATAATTCTCTTGAGAACAGTCCGCCTTTAAAAAACGGACGGACGCAAATATTCATATTACAATTAGCACTCAAACATTGTTACCATTATCGATTATTTCATGAATTACTGTATGTAAACAATATCGTCATGAAATGGAACAAATTTTACAAATTCATAAAGTTATGAAGAAGAAGGTATGTTTGCTAAAGTCACCATAGAAGGGGAAGATTATATAAATAGAATGCAATGTTCACATAAGACAGGAAAAACTGGGTATGTGTTAAGAATCCTTTAAAAGTACTTCATTCTTTGCTCGAACAAAGTTATATGACAAAAGGACCCATGCATCGGTCATTTGAATGGCGTTTGGATTAGAGTAAAAGCAATCGTGTATTATTCGTTCAAATGTGTTTATTATTATAAAACGTTATTCTATAAACTTCAAATTAATTCCTAAAATATTCTTCCAGACTGCGATTTGGTTTAAATGATTTGCTCGATATCACTGATAATTTATTAAGTACGATTATTATACATAGAACCTAATCATTAGAATTTTTGAAATGCATATTTAAGTTTATTTAATTTCCATGGTTTTTAAGAACTAGAAAATATTTAAATGCAATTTTGGAAAATTTGAAAATAATGCAGTATTATTGCTACAAATATTTTGGAAATTTCCTCAAAACCTTTAATAAACTTAATTCATAATTTTATTGCGAGCCATTTTTCTAATAAAATTCTAATAAATAACCGAAATCTTTAAAATTTCATAACTTGTACTCTATTAACATTTAAGTAACGCAGTAAAGTCGAATGGGTACATGATAACTTTATGAAACATAAAATAAATCGTTTTTTTTCAAAACTCACGTAAAAAAAAGGTTTTATTTTATTTAGAAGGTTTAATTTATTAATTTCGGAATATTAATGAATTTTTTAAAAAAAAACGATCTATTTGTGAAAGAGACAGATTTTTGGAGTATTTTCGAAAAATCTGAAATGAAAATGATAAGAAGGATCCAGAGTTATTAAAGAAAGAAAATATAGCTTCGTTAATAGTAAATTTATTATAAAATTATTTAAATTATACTATAAAATAAAAAAAATCTTCAATAGTAATTTTTGATTTAATTATTTGTTAGCGCACCCCAACACCACTTGTCTCAAATTCTAATTTTGCCCCAATTTTAAATTGTGCAGCAAAATTGCATTGAATTTCAAATTGGATTGCCTCAATCAAGTATTTTGATCACTCTAGCAATTTACAGTAAATTGTTTGAGGTTTCTTCATTTAACGAAAGATATTATAGTTATTGTCAAAATAAAATTTAAAATAATTTGAAAATTTTCTGGTGATCTCCTATAAAATTTAATTCCTTAATTTAATATAAGTCTTTCCATGACGAATGCCCTTCAAATGTTGAGATAGTTGAGACACATCAAGAATATTTATTTCACTTCTTTCACCAAACATAGCTTATTTTCAACAAAAACATGAAAGAGTACATCCTGCAGGAATAAAAGACTATAAAGTATAAGTGAATTAAATGAATGTAAGTCATAATTAAAAATAAGTATTGTGAAGCAAGGAGTAAATCGATTCTGCCAGAACCCTTTTATCCTACTTTAGTCATATATAAGTCATCCATTGTTGCATAAAGAGTATGATGTAAAGAGTAAATACAGCCAACTAAAATAAGAATGTATATAGCATAAAAGCTAGAAGAAATGCATACAACCGTCATTAAATAGAGAAAGTATTTAGCTAACTAGGTGTAAAAGAAAATGCATATAGCCGTATTGTTTACTATGGTCATTTATAAACAATAAAATATATCTTTTTAAAAATTAAGTTGGATTTTTGATATTGCTATTTATACCCGCCAATTGAGATCGACAAATAACACGCAAACAACCGGTGTGGTGTTAGTAGTTTATAATAAAGACTTTAGAACAATTACTTGCCTCTTTAAAATTTTATTGTGCTCGTATGTAGCATAAATTTCCCAGCAATTAAATCTTGTAGTGTTGTTTCGTTCGATTTCGATTACTCTAACTTATTGTTCAATATAATTGTCAACGTGTTCTAACATAAATAACTCTTATGTAAAGTCTGTGTTGAGGTATAACTTTTACAATTTATCTGCTATTTTATTATTACATTGGATGCAAAATATTTTAACATTTGTATTAACGTCATGTATTCAGAATTTTTACATAAAGTGTCTCAATTAAAAGATGACAGTGATAAAGTTTATAAAATTGATTATTTATTGTGGTACAACCAATTTTATTTGAACAAATTTTATCATTGCTTTCATATTTGGAATCGCTTTAACTAATTTTTTTATTTTTATTTTTTAGGTATATACAGTATCTTATGTTTTATTTATAATACACTTTAAAATTTAAATTAGATATTATAGAATAAGCTCCTGTAATATAGTTTAGATTTATACCTATATAAAAAAAAATTAAAAAATTTGTTAAATTAAAATGATGTTTACGCTTCATAAGTTCTATCCGTGACCGCCCAAAATGAAAAATTTGAAATCGTAATTTTTGTATATATTTCGGAGTTTTTCCAAATACTTTTTTTCAAAATTTAAAATATGAAACCAATTTATATTGAAAAATTAGATGACGATGATATGTTACAATCGAAGTTGGAGAAGACTATATTTTGTATTACAATTTCTCAAATTTTTTCTATTATTAGAAGACAAAGATCACCGAAAAAAAATTGAAGTTGCCAAATAAATTACCCGAGCCTTTCAAATTATTTTGAAATAAGTCATGTTATAACATGAACAATAATCAGAAATATTAATAAAATCACTTGTGCATTAAGTTTATTTATTTCAAAACAAGATAATTTTCGTAAATAAATCCGGTATATTACCTTGATTTACTTTACATATTTCTGAAACAAGAGATTTATCATGAGTTAAAACATAATTCTTGAATAATTAAGTGACAACGTTGATTTCATCATCATGATTATTCATTAGTAGGCCTACATAACCTATCCGAATATAACCACCATAACCTTTTGTAATAAATTTAATTTACACTAAATTTTGCCGTCTTATGCTATTTGCAAGGTATGCTAACAATTGAAATCTGATTCCATTCTTTTTGTAAAGCAACCTACAATTCTCTCGCATTCATTGAAAGTAAAGGTCTGATCCTTATGCGCCTTTCGAATTCTGACCATATGTGTTCAATAGGGTTAAATTTGGAAATTTGTTTGGCCAAATTTTATAAAATTTTAGTCTACCCATTCTTTAAAATCTTAAGCGGTATAAACAGTGCATTGTCAACCTGGACCATCATTTGTAAATATAGTAAAATGACTTTCATCGCTCCAAATAACTGATTCCGCTTATAACAGACCAATCTTTACACCTATTTAAACGATTTTCTCTTTGTTGGTTATTAAGAAAAGGTTTAGAAGCTGAAATACAAGATTTCAACTTTTTGAAATTTATTTTTTTTTCAGCTGATTGATGATTATTTCTTTTACCAATTAGTTTTAGATTTTGCCATTGTTTTAAATGACCTGATTTTGTGTTTGAAGTTGCCTATCAAAGCTCACCGAGTCATTGGCAAAACTATAATAAAATCTTATTAGAAAAACCGTCGAATTTGAAACCATAATAAAAAGTCAAAACTATATAAAGAAACAATTCCGTCGAAATATAGGGTTTCGACTTTTGCTTTTTGCAAAAATGAGTTTTGCCAGGTATCTATAGGTTGAGCTATAAGACATTTTCTTTTACGAAAGTTTTGAATTGTTCGGATAACTTAAATTCTGAAAATGACAAGCATACTTTTTATGGCGCTACCTTTAAAAAGACATATGATATGACTCCGTTCCGATTACGTTGAGTCATATTTTTCATGTTTGTATTTCATGAATTTTAATGTTTCTTTCAGGATATAATTACCATTCTCTAGTATAGTAATACTTTTTACTATTTCACCACCGCCCTCTTTCTATGTTTTTAAATTTTTCATTTCGTAATGACACAAATCAACAAAATTTTATTCATTTGATAAGTAAATTAGTATTTAAAATAAATGAACAGTAAAAATTTAGAAATAAATACTATAAAAGTGTAAACAAAAAAATAAAAATATGAAAAATAATTGATAAAGAAGTATAAATTATAATTATATTCCAATTATATTTAAAATAATTTTCTTTATTTCGGGATTTATAGTTCCTTCATCCATTAATTTCTTTATTTCTTGAACATCGGCATAGTAATAACTACAAAATATTAAATTTTTAATTTTAAAATAAATTACAAAAAATTGTTTCAAATTAGTTAAGTGCATGATTACATTAATCCGGGAAACCATGTTTTCCAGCATCGCTTATGATTCGGAAGAAAATAAAATAGTTCAATTTCTTTAAGAATCTTTTTAATAAAGGGTAGTTACTGTTAATAAAGTGTTTAAATAATTAAGCCGATTTATATTTTTTACTAACCTCCGCCTTTTGTACAGTGTAAGTTACCCGATCATTATCTTCTTCAATTGCCATATTTAATAGTCCGATCAATAAGTTCATAAGAAACACAACGATTATAAATGAATATATAATCATTAAAGCGATCATTGTTTTATTATCCTCAGGTGGCCATCTATTAAATAAACTTCCATCTCCTATAAAAATTAATATACATTTAGGCACAATGTATGTTTAGAAATTCAATAATTAAATAGTAACGTACCTGTTAGGAATATACTCATTGCTAAAAGAGAGTTGGGATAATTTGAAAATAAATTTGTATAGTCATCAGGAACTTTAAATAAAGTCATGTTCCGATTAATTTTCCCATCCGAAACTTGAAAAAATCTGTCGGTAAGATTCCAAGGATTATTAGGTTCATTTATATTTCCTAAATCTTCTTCATTAAACGGAGATTTGGGTTTTAATAAAAGCATAAATGCATGAGCAAAACTCAATGTAATAAGAACCAAAATGAATAGAAATGAAAAAATTTTGCGTGCAACACCAAGCATGATGGCAAAATAAACCCCAAATGGTTCAAATGCTCGGAAAAAGAGTATAAATTTCATTTCAAGTATAAGACATGAAATTGAAACCAAGAAAGTAATATCATTATCTTGATTTTTGTACCAAAGAATTGATGTACACGTAGGTATTAAATAAGCGCCCAAGTCTAAAATTATAAAGAAAATTAACATCATTGTTTAAATAAGTAATCAAATGATAATTTATACATACCAATAAAATTCCAAAAATTTTGTAACCATCTATAAGGATTCCATATAAATTGACGAAATTCAAATAAAAGATGAAAGCAGCCAAAAAATATGGACGCCATTAAATAGTTATTTCTATTTTCATTATCAGAAGCAGCAATTATAAAACAACTAAGAAATACAGTATATAATAACCAAATTATTATATAATAATATTTTCCATATACCCTCCATTTAAATTTAATTAAAGCTTTGCCATTCCATGTTTTATAAAATTCATTATGATTTGCTTCGATAAAAGGATTGGATTGGGGTATTAAAAGATCAAAAAGCCAAATAAGCCAACCAGGCAAATGTTTATATATGGTTTTAATTTTAGAAAATTTAGAATATGAATATGAATATGAAGAGAAATAAGGAAATGGAATTATAAATAAAAGAGTCGGCTTTGTAGGTTTGCTCCGTTTAACATAAAATATACACATCAAAATTATTACAGATATTAAGTAACCAAACGACACACATAACAACATATATTGCTTGATAAAGAATTTTAATATAGGAATAATTATTAATATTATATGTAAATATTGTAATAAGGATTTATATTTTTGAAATTGACTTCCTTCAATTTCTCTATATAAAATATACATAATAATCAATGGACCAAACAAATCATTTAATAAAATTAAATCTAAAGTTGCCATTGTCGATAAAAATAAAGCTTTTATCCCCATCTCAAATAATTTACTTATCTTCGGAAAACACTTATTTACTATCAAAGATATAGATAAAAAATATTCAACAATTACTATTGCTCGCGGAATGAAGCGTAAGAGCCTATGAACTCCTATATAATTAATCATTAGTATGGACTCCATGAATGTGAATGATATTAATAATAAAAATGCTAGATGTTTTCTGATTAAACTTTTTTTAAAATAACCTATATTATAACAAATAAGAATTATAATAAGTGAGATAAATAAAGTTAAGTCAGCAACAAAGTAATTTTTATCTAATCCATGTTCAAAATCCATTGTATATACAAATAATACTAAAAGAATTGGTGGTATTAAAATCTGAATAATTTCTTTATATTCTTCATAAAGAATATAAAAATAAGGTATAGAATGATTTATGATTTCTAATTGTTTACAGAGAGAATAATGATGGTCAACTTTTTCATAAATAATCTCTTGATTTAAAGGATCTAAAATTAATTTCATTTCATTTAAAATAAATTCATAATATTCGTCATTTAAATATGAAATATTATTACATATTACTGATAATATGCAAATATTACTTTTTGGATCTTCTTTAAAGTGTTCAATAGTTTTGTTAAATATTAGCCCTATTAAATATATATTATTTTGTTTGATTGCCGATTTTAATAATTGTTCTCCATATAATAATAAAAAATAATTTGCATTTAATAAATAATTAATCCATTGCTTTGATTCAATTTCTGATGGATCAGCAATAAATTTAATATCTAAATTATCTAATTCGTGATGATAATAATGATTTTTTATAATACCACGTAGAGTATCTTTACTGTTTTCAGAGATGTTATTCTTTATATACTCATCAACAGCTTCCATTTTAGCTTTGATAGTAGTAAAATTTTGATCTATATCCATAAATATGTTCTCTTCATTTTTAATAAGATTTTGACTATCATTAAAGATGGAATATCTCCAATCATGATTAGCTATATTAAAAAAATGAGGTTTTTCTGGTGATATTATAAAAACTTTTTTATCCGTAAATTCGATATGAATACTTTTATCGAGATCTCCAAATTCTACTAATTTATTGAAACCAATGGAACCTTTTAGGCTTGATTTCCAAAAATAAATATTAATGACATTACTACTTGATAAAGTAATCATGAATTCATTATTATTGCCGGCGAATTCGAATTCACGACAATCTAATAAACAAAAGTATATTAATTGTAAATCAGAAGTTTAAAAATGTATTCATAGAAATACATACCAGAATCTACAATCTTTCCAATGGGAAAATTAATTTGGTCTTTGATATTGTAATAGATATAATGCGCATCAACAACTTTCATGATAATTAACTTGTCTGAGAATTTGAATTTAACTTGCTCAATATTTAAATTCTTTTCCTACACTACATAATTAAATCATCATTATTATCAATTTATATCAAACTTACAATAAAGATTCATATATATACTCACAAAAAGCGAAATCTTTTGAAGTTGGAATGTGGCTAAATCCAATAGGAAAATTAATCCATATGCCATCATCCACATCCTTTTGCTTAGATAACCGCCAAATCTTACATCTTTTTCATTTAAAATATTAAAAGCCTTTTGAGTCAATTCATTATTATTTGCGAGTTCATAAATCAAAACTGCGGGATTTAATGTAGTGCTACTACAATTACTCTTAAATGTAACTATATTCCCGTTTTCAAGTAAATTTGTATGACTATAATCACAACTTTCATCTTTAATTTCAAGATCTTCATCATGTTTCAAATCGTGGAATTTTGCTAATCACAAAACGAATAATAAATTAACGCGAAGATTTGTCATTTTGAATTCAAATTAAAATTTAAATCTTACCGAAACCAGTATATTCATACAAAATGATCTTGTTATCAGAAACCTTGAAATCACTAATGTCTTCCCAATTTGACGATTCGATATCTTTACAAAGGTTTGAATCGGAATCATCATGCCATCCTACAAAGGATTTATCTTCTTGACTATATGTTAAAACATATTTAGTTAGTGGCGATATTGCCACTTTAGATATCGGTTTATCATTATGTGGTAAATTTGAAATAGGATTATGATGTGAATTAGGTACGAAATCATTGATGCGTATGTTCACGTGATTCCGAGACATGGTTGGTTAATTTGCAAGTTGTGAATAAATATAAAAGATGAGAAAATGACATTATATAATTGGGATTATATATAACGAGATGAATAAGAACGGAAAAAGTTTATCCCTCGGAATAGTGGATCACTTCAAAGCCACATTGGGTTGTTAACACCGCCTTTGTTATACTAATTGCATAGTTGAGGATTCCAAATTATGGAACCGATCTAATCTAAAAAGATCATCTTTAATTTCGTGATGAAAAACGGCACAATTTTTTATTCTGCGCCATGTAAAAAGGTCAGACTACCAGCGAACCGAGGAATTTAAAAAAAAGTAAAAGCCGAGGGGAACAAGGGCAGAATATAAAAGGAAAAATAATTTGGTCTATATTATGAATTTCTACTGGTCCGGTTTCAAACTGGTACCGGCCCGATATTTAAATATTAAACTGGGTGATCTGCCACCACCGCCATGACCGAAGCGAAATCAAACAGCTAATTTCATAAGTCACGGGACAGCTGATAATATCCGAGACTTTTCCGAGAACATTTATAAGGTTTGGAAAAGCCAACCACATTTTCTATGAGTAAAAAAATTAGTTCACCTATATTCGGAACACTTACCGAGTTTTTTATCGATCTGAAAAATGATCGTCCGTCCCGTGACTTTGAAATTAGCTGTAAATATGGTTGCTTCCCCCGATGCGAAACAAATAAAAAATAAATAATAATCAAACGCCTTCTTTTTATGGTGAACAATTGTTTCATCATTTATAAATAACAAATTTCACGAATTCTAATTTTATTATGCAAGCAAGAAAAAAAAATCATTTTAAACTTCCGTCGTATGAAAAACATAGCACTATGCTACAAGAATTTGTAAACATTATTTAGCAAAGCTCGTTATAGTGAAGCTCGTTATAATAAATTTGGCTGATAATTGTTCCCACAGTTCACTTTTTATATTCGATATAGTAAACTTACTAATAAATCTCGATATTAGGCCGTGCAAACTTGATTTTTCGGTTCATGTAACATCAGAATTTGAAAATGACCCGGCGACCCGGTTTTGATTTTTATATGAAAATTTTATATGTAAAAAATGTTATGATTGTTCGAACTTGATTTTATAAATTTAGTAAAATTCGAACTCGAACTGGTAATTTATCATAGTTCAATTAATTATTCATCTAATTATAAAATACAAAAATTCTATTTTGTTTGACGAATGTACTCCTATAGAAAATATAAATATCGAAGATTTTTTGCATATTTTGGAAAATATGAAATTTGGTAACTAAGAAAAGGTGTGAAAAAGATATAAAGCATCGAAAATATATGGAGATTAAATTATCGAACAATCAATCATAATGAAGAAATACCTTTGAGAAATACATTTGATTATTAATGAAGTCATCAACAACACTATCTTTCCAGAGTTTAATCCAATACCAAGAAATGTATTGGATACAATACTTTAATATTATTTGGTCACGTGAAATAAATTTATCATTATAAAAAATCATTTAAGAAAGTGATTCTCCTTTTAAAACAATTATTACATTCATTATAAATTTCATTTTCTATTTAAGTGCAATTCCTTTCATTAAATGAAATTCTATTAAACAAATGATTATTATAAAGAATTACAGGCAAGCATACTTCTTTCAATTTTTAATATTTTTTTTGGTACCAATTAAAGGCCTTTTCAAGAACTTTTCTGTTCTTTTCCAATTTGTATAACATAAAGATAAGTTGTTAATCGCATGAACTATTACTTTTTCAGCAGCTTTTTGATACCACCAAAAGGCCTTTTCTAAATTCTTTTCTGTGCCTTCACCACGTTCATATAAATGGCCAATGTTATATTACTTTAGGATGTCAATTTTCAACAGTTTTTCGATGCTAAATTTTCGTCGACATTCGTTCCAAATCCTTTTAATAGCATCTCAAATATAATTGCGCAATAGGATGATCGCTTGCTGCTTTTAAGAAACTCATAAATCCTTCATTATCATAATTATTTTCACTAAGCTAAAGCATTTTGTAATAAGAAAAGATTCGACGAAAGAAAAATCATTGTGTGATTTTCATTAAGCCAGTTAATCCTTCGTTTCAACAAACTTTTTACTTTGATTTACTATTTTAATCAATAGTTTGAAAATTTATCAACTAGTATATTATTATTTATCCGTTGGATTAATTTCTGAAATTTTATAGGAATTCGTCATGTTCTGACAGTTTGTATTTTTTTAAAAAAATTTTTTGTAGATCGCGAAAAGTTAGGGGTAAATTTTTTTTGACAAAATATTAAACGATAGTTTATATGCGAAACTTGGAATTAGTATATAAATGGGAAAAATGTCAAGTGTTATTAGTGGCGATTGAAGTATTAACTTTTTGGAAGTGCAACATAATTAAAATTTTAACCATACGACCGAAAAGTTGCCTTTTTGCGCATCATAAAGAAACAAAATTACGTCATGTTTTTATAATTTAAGTTAGCATATCCGCCTTTCCAACTGTGTATACAATTATCCGGAATTAATTGGATTGGATATACGCAACATCAGTAAAAATCCGAATTTCTAAAACTTCTTTTTATAATAGTTAGCATTACCAATTAGGCATGACCTCGTCAGAACGCAGGATTAACCTTTTTATGTCAAAGATTCGTACAAAAACTTACTTTAACTTTATTTGTAGACATTTTTATCTGGGATGTAAGCAATACCTCGTTCTTAACTTTTTCATGCGAAGTAACGTCTAAGATAGTACAAAGTACACCCTATTTGTAGAAGTTCTTTTTTAAACCATGGTTTGATATCTGGCATGTAAAACAAAAAGCTCATTTTAAACGTTTTTATGCTTAAGCTAGTACAATACTCAATCAAGCTCAATTTTTTGAATTTAGAAATCTTAATTTTCTTACCGGATACAAAAGAACAAGAAAATGTTAAATTTAACTGAGATTACACACAATTAGCATTATACAATGATGAGTTCGTACGCAAAATACGTAAACAACAGAATTCTGAAAGTATCTTTAATAGTAATAAAATGTACTTTTTAACAGGCGAGTTTTGGATGTTGCTGGAGTCCTTAGCTCTAACCATGTGCTGAATTTCCTAAATGGACTTGATCATTCCCCAAGTACGATTGGTGGAATACTAATTGTTGTTATATCTGTTATAATGCTACGGCCTCAAAACGATCGAAGCTAAAGAATTAATGCGGCCCAACCCGCCAGGAAAACTTATTTTAGTAAATGGCAAATGTCGAAACCCTAAATTTAGAGGATTCGTTAATTATTCTTTGCCAATAAGGTTTTATATAGTTTTACCAATGACCCGTCGAATATCGAGAGTTTCCAGGCAACTTTAAACCCGCCGAACAATTAAAATAACAAAAATAAATAAAATTAATTTAGTGAAAAAAATAAATCAAAAATTACTTACTTAGTGATCCAGATCTTCTAAAATAAAGAATTAAAAAATAAAACAAAAAAACCTATACATACAGCCCGAAAAAGGAAGCTAAAATAATTAAAAAAAAGGCAAGATAATTGCTGCATTTCGAAACGATATAAAATAAAAAGAAAGAAAAAAAATATTAAAAGATAATGATTCACCACTAGCGCCAACACGATCCAATCCGAAGAGGAACATAAGGGAAAAAAAGATATCGAAATCGAACGATCGCTATACCAAGAGCGATCTAAGGACGCTCTCAAGCACTTAACTCAATGGATCGGAAATAAAATTTTAATAAATCTGTTATTACAAAGAGATTCGTCAACGTATAGTTAATCCATTGATATTGTTACAATTGAATGTAATTCCGGCCGAAATCTCTATAATTCCGCATGAAAATCGCTTTCGATATTTGCAGTTAGTGCTTTGAAGATCATTTGCCAGGTTCAAGACGCCAGGCTGGCCTAATTATTTTTTTTTTATATAGATACGAGCTGGAAATCCTTAAACAGCTCAATATCCACTCTCGCTCTTGTTGAATAAATTCCCTTCGAAATCCTTCCTTTAACACCTTCGCAATATTTTCGCTTTCGCCGTTTTAACTTCTTAATTTTGTAGTTGTAACTTCGTTTATTATTTTTTTTTAATTTCCGATTTTATGTTATTTATTATTTTGTAATTTTTCGTAATTGCATAGTTTTAATAAATTAGAATTTGGCACTTACTTAGTTTAATTTATTGATCAAGCGAAAGTGTAGAGCGCCGATGTTGAGGCAAAACTGCTTAATTTGATAATATTAAATAGATACTTGTCATAATTACTTCATTTTTACTTAATATATATTCAATTTTATTCAATCAATACCTTGTGCTTACAAATCCAAATAGTTTATAAATACATAAACGAAAGAACTGAATACAACAAAATTATATGAAATTGTAGAATCTTGACAATAGATAAAATTTATAAAGTCCAAATTTTTTAGATTTATTAAATTCAGTCTTAAAAATCGCTACGGCTATGTGGAAGGTTTGCTATTAATCCACATTACGGATCATATGAATTACTATGTTCGTAACTCTATTTTAATAGCAAACCTACATACAATGTATGTAAAGTGTTGCGTTTCAAATTTTCTTTTTTTTTTTTATTTTTTTTAAAAAAAGAATTAATTACAACAAATCATGTTCAATATTTTCTTATTTTGAACTGTAAATTTTTTTAATAGTTCGCTAACCCAATTTTTTACACTATATTTCTTACTTCGTTCATCAATGAAAAATAAATAAATGAACGTGTAATTCTGCATTAAATAAAGATGTGAATGAATTTCCATTCCGAGAAGATGAAGCTCAATTTTGTTTGTGACATCATAAATGAAGTATGTATATTATTAATTCGTACAGAAATAGTATCATCTGTTTTGATAACTGACACAACGAATGAATTTAATCCATCCTCGCAGATATAGGTCACTGGAGACCCAGTATCTACGAAGAAGTGTAAAATATTTATTTCTAGAAAAGGGGGAAAAAAAATGTTTTTATT